AGACACATGAGTCATTGTCATCACTTAAATGCCATACAGTTGTTCGCGGAGAAATAAAAACACACAACCGGCCGGTTATAATGTATTTTCAAATCTGATTTTATTAAAGAATATTTCTTACTTAAGTGCTACCTAAACTATTCTGACTTAACCTAATCGCAGACACACAATCTTTCTTATCTATTCTAAGGGCACGCTAGGAGGGATCTTGTGTCCCAACACTTAAGTGCATGCTACCTACTGAGCGCACATCTATCTGTATGTGTGGGCTTTATTGATCCTTTATTATCAGTGCACACAAATAGATTTTATGGCCGCTTGGAATTTCTAATCATTAAAAATAGATTACCATCTGCGCTGCCGCAGAGCTACAAGGCCGCTGAATTGCTTACATATGGTTTCTTTTTCTAATATTATTATTTTTAGACCGTTCAAAATTAAGTCAAACGATCACAAGAGAATGTTTCTTAACCTTTTGTCTATGTTCTCTGAACATTCTCCCGGGCGGCAAAATGCTGTTAAACATTTACAGGCCGTGGGAATTGTATTGCAGCTATTCTTCTGATTATCATTATTTTTCTTATTAATAAAATTATAAGTATTACTATAACCATAGATACTAAAATTAACGATGTATGCCCCGACATGTGGTGGAAATTCAGTCCTCTTAACTCCACGTTTTCGTTTCTTAATTTGTCCACACACTCCTTCAATTGATTGATTTCTTTATCATGATTAATCAGTAGATCCCCGATAGGTTTGATAGTTTCCTTATCAGCCTCGCTTACGTCCTTCAAAAGAAAGGAATGAAATTGTGCTGTTACCTCATTCCGTACTCTATGAGCAGCTACCAACGTCACTTGACCGATTCTCGCTGTACAATCCGCCTCCAACGAGAAAATCCCTTGCTGCGGAAGTTCCATTATCGTTTGTTTCTTATGGGAACATTTCAGATGTGCAGTGTTATTTGAGAACGTCTTGAACAACCAATTTCCTTGCATTTGTAGTGGCATCCAATAAGGCATTCGTTCAGTTTCATCGTAAGCGCAGTTTATATCTATGTGAGGTCTAAAGGGCGCCAATTCGCATTGATTCGTTGACGCATCTCTCCAAGGAAAATTGCCTTCACACATGATTTCTTTACCCAGAGTTTCTTTGCACTCGTTCAGCATCGCCTGTGTCAAGAAATGGAAAGAATCGAGCTCAAAATTATAAACAATGTAAGGTGCTTTAACCCGAGCTATCATCACCGTACCACCCTCTTGAAACGGTATGGGAATAACCCTGTAGAACTGGGATGATTGTCGATTGAATAGTGGTATTTTTATATCTATTACCAGCTGCGACCCCACAAATGTTCCATGACCCGTCATCAAATGTAGCACTTCTTTTAATTCCATTCCTGTGTGTTTACCAGGAAGTACATATTTTTCGGGTAGAGCATCCCGAATCTTTACTATCTCTTCCTGCAACTGCTTAGGAGTTATGAGAATGGGGTGGAATTTACCGCTGTTCACGTCAATCAAAGCATCTATGACTTCCCTTTGTACTTCTTCACATTCCTCCACAAGCTCATGAATCTGTTTGGCTATTATAAAGAATCTTATCGACTCCCTGTATACGAAGTAGTTCTCATTCATGGTGGCGGTTATATTCTCAATCTTCTTTTTTATCTCCGAGAAATGTGAATTCACTTCCTCGGTTGTTCTTTTAAGGATATTGACAGTGGCATCAACTAAGGACGTCTGCTTCTTTGCCAGTTCCTTTAAATCCTTTTGGTTGGCTAATAAATTCTCCATGTTATTCTCCATTGCTACTCGGTCATCATCGTCCATCATACCAAACGCCCAGTGTTGGAACGAACCCACAAATTTTAATGGAGTTCCTCTTTTCTGGCGCTTGTCATTTCTCATAAATAGTCCATTGTTCGTCTTTATCTTATTAATAGCATACTCCATATTGTTTATCGTGGACCAACACTGATCCTCGAACGTCTGCAGTCTCGGGCATACTTCTTGCGATTTCTTTAGTAAGCATGACGCCAGTTCTAATGTTTCCAAATATGGTTTAAGCTCAAAGTATATCAGCATGTTCCATGATGACGAGACCATATGAATTTGGGACATGGGATCCAAATATATTGCGGCTGAGCTGTTTAACTCATGCAATGATGATGCTTTGGTAGCCATTACCATGAATAGGCTTAACATGATTGTCCAAATCATTGATGGTTGCTCCTTTGCTCTTAGCCTACATCTTGTCATATTCATATATGCTGTTTCCGCCTGTGTGTTATCCTTATGCGTTACCTCTTCTTCTTCATCTTGATACTCCAAAGGACATAACTTATTGACCGGCCTCTTCAACACACCATTTTGCGTTTTAAGGGTCACCACTCTTACTACTCCATCTTTTCCCGGATGGACTTCAGTCACTCTCGCCAGAGGCCAATGCGCCGGGTGGGTCTCTTCGTTTTTAAGTATTACCACTTGACCCATTTCTATATTTTTATCTCGCCTTTTCCACTTCATACGGGCCTGTAGCGTAGTTAAATATTCCTCCTTCCATTTTCTCCAAAAATGGTCTTTTATCCTTTGCAGCAGTTTCCACCTATTTGCGCATACTAGGCTTCCTTCTTCTATCCTTGCCTCTAATAAAGGGCGCCCAATAAGGAAATGGCTTGGCGTCAACGTGTCTATATAATCCGCACCACTGCCAAGCTCATGTAATGGCCTTGAATTCAAAACAGACTCAATCTGGGCTAGTACCGTGCTGAGCTCCTCATATGTCAGCTTCGTATCTCCCATTATACGTTTCAGATGGTACTTAATGGATTTTACAGCGGCTTCCCATATTCCTCCAATGTGAGGAGCTGCCGGCGGGATAAAATGCCACTTTATTTTTTGATTCTCCAAAATTGGTGCCAACTTTATGTTATGTTTAATCGTCTTTCTCCAGCTGCCTTGCTGCACCCACGAAGTTTGTTCCATTGTCGGAATAGATATCGCTCGCTTTGCCTCTTCTCGCAAAAAACCGTTTAAGAGCCGCCATAAAAGCTTCTGTAGTCAGCTCACTCACTGCTTCCAGATGTACAGCCTTTGTCACCATGCAAACAAAAACCGCAACGTAGCCTTTCATGGATTTTGTTCCCCTCGTCTTTGAACAACGAATATGTAAAGGTCCAGCATAATCAATGCCGCAATGCTGAAAGGGTTGACTGATGTTTACTCGACATGCTGGCAAATTTCCCATTAATTGATTTCTGACTTCTCCTCTGTAGCGTGTACACCTAGGACAACATCTCACGCAGAGCTTAATTTTATTCTTAGCTCCTATGATCCAATATTTTCTTCTTATTACGCTCTCCATTAAACGATTTCCGCCATGTAAAGTTTCTAAATGCGTGTGCCGTATGATGTTCTCCGCTAATTTTGATTTCTGTATCAAGGTAGGGTGCTTCTGGTCATAGGACACCGATGAGAATTCCAGCCTTCCGCCTACTCTCATTACCCCAGACTGATCTAGTTGTGGGTGTAATGAAGCTATTTTGCTACGATGATCCACCACACCAGCCTTCTTCAATTGTTTTATTTCCGCAGGCCACTCGTATTCCTGATGTCGTTTTATAATTTCAATTTCGGCTTCTTCCAGCTCTTCTGGTGTTAAGTGCTCGGTTTTTGCTTGACTTCTCTTTAGCCTTTTAATGAAGCGAAGAATATAAGCCATTACTCGCTTTTGTTTCAAAAATGATGAAAATGTCATAATTTTCTCATAGACGTCTTTTTCTACAGACGTTAATTCTGTAGCCGCCACAATCACTTGCCTTTGCTCCAATTTTGGCCAATTTTGCTCGTCTTTTGTTATCCATTCAGGCCCCTTCCACCATAATTTATTGTAAATTAATGCTTCGGTTGCAATCCCTCTTGAACCCAAATCTGCTGGGTTTTCTTTGGATTTCACGTATCCCCATTTCGCTTCGGGAATTCGCTCCAAAATATCCACTACTCTATTCTTAATGAATTTGTTTTTGTTTTTTGCGTTGTTTATCCATGCTAATGTTATCATGGAGTCACTCCAGGTAAAGGTTACTGCAGTTGTTGTCAAAACTCCTCTAATTTTTTGCATAAGTTTTGCCAAGAGATGCGCTGCGCATAGTTTCAGTTTTGGAAGTGTCTTCTTATTTTTCATTGGATTTACTTTGCTTTTCGCAGCCACCATCGTTATCTTTGCATCCACCTTGAGGTACACAACGGCTGCATAAGCTTTTTCGGACGCATCTGCAAATCCGTGTAGTTGTACTGTGCTAGCTGCTGATATTTCAAACCATCTTGGTATTTTAATATTCTTGAGCACAGGCAGACTGCTCATAAATTGATTCCACTCCGCTTTTAAATTTTCATCTAAAGGAAGATCCCAATCTAACTGCTGTTTCCATAGATGTTGTATAAAAAGCTTTGCTGTTACCGTTATAGGGGTTAACCAGCCCATCGGATCGAAAATTTTTGCCAGGTTTGACAACGCCAATCGTTTTGTTACTTTGTCTTCGTCGCTTATCTGCATGTTGAACGTAAAACTGTCAGTGGTTGGATTCCATTGCAGCCCAAGCGTTTTAAACATTCATCCTCTTGAATATGCAGCACTTCATTATCTTCCGACCAATTAACTGCTCTCAACACCTCCGGTGAGTTTGCAATCCATTTCCTTAAATGGAATCCGTACATTTCCAGTTGATGCGATATTTTTCTTTGCACATTCATACATTCCGTTTTCGAATTTGCTCCTGTTAGAAGGTCATCCATATAAAAGTCTTCTTTAATTCTCTTAGCAATTTCTGGATCTTTACACCTTTTTCCAATTTCAATCAGCGTTCGTACTGCTAAGAATGGTGCTGAAGCGGTTCCATACGTAACCGTGGTCAGCTTGTACGGTTGAATCGGATCTGATCTGCAACTTCTCCAAAGGATATACTGGTAATTCTGATCTTCTTCTGCAATGTTTATCTATCTAAACATTTTCTCCACATCGGCCGAGATCACAAACTTCCACGATCTCCACTTGGTAATGATATCGAAAATATCCCATTGCATCTTTGGTCCAACGTGAAGTATGTCATTCAGTGCCTTTCCGTTTGATGTTTTCGACGAAGCATCAAACACAACCCTTACTTTTGTGATAAGGCTCGTTTCTCTTACAACTGCTTGGTGCGGCATATAGTACTTTGCTTCTTTCTGTTCTTCCACTTTTACCATGTGTTTCATCGATATGAGCTCGCTCATTGTTTTATTATATTCCTCTCTCAGATAAGTACTCTCTTCAAGCCTTTTCTCCAAGCTTAAAAACCTTGCCATAGCTCTTTTATAAGATTTTCCTAACTCCTTGTCTTCAGCAAACGGCAAGCGAACGACGAATCTGCCTGAATTATCTATGCGTGTTGTGTCTTCATAAAGCTTAAGGCAGTATTCGTCTTCTAAGCTGGTTTCTTCGTCTTCTATTTCTTCAATCTCCCAAAATCGTTCAATTGTTGTTGTTGCTGCAGACTTCGTTGTTGTTGCTGCAGGTTTCATTATAACTGTTCCCGACAAAATCCAAACCCACTTTGTGTTTTGGCCCACAATTTGATCATCATGACGAACTCCTTCTTCTAATATCTGTGAGTAGAGGTCGGCTCCAATGACTAAGTCTATTTTTTCCGTTCTGTTGAAATTTGGATCTGCCAGGTTAACATTTCTCCATTTATCCACATCATAGTGGAACGATCTATCAGGATGGGCTGATGCTAGCGATGGGAGAACTAGTGCTTCTGCATCAATTTTAATATCGCTTACAAATCTGGGTCGTATCTCCAATGCCACTTTCGATTTTGCCACACCGACTATTGTTTTTCCTAGACCTTGTAACCTCACATCAGTCTTTTTTCTGGGCAGCTGCAGCAGTTGGGCTACGTCTTCCGATATGAATGTAACTTGTGATCCTTGATCTATTAACGCCTTCACTGTTAAAAATTCTCCGTGCAATGATTTTATTCGAACTTGCGCCGTTGCTAATAGAACATCCGCTGTTGCATTGATGTTCATTGCCTTTGTATTGTTTCTTTTTTCGAAGTGCATTAATGTTATGTGATTCATTCCACACTTCTGGCATTTCGCTTCTGCAAAACATCTCTTATCTCTTTGTGCTGACTTTGTGCTGACTTTGCCCAATCAAATCTTTCCTGCGCGGCTAATGCCGCAAATTTTCTGCGAACTGCAATATCATGGCCGTTTATTTTGCAAAACTTGCATTGCTTTGTTTCCTCTATTCCAGTAGCTTTCGCCTGATGTTGATGTCCAGGGTTGAAATATTTTTTGCCTGCTGAAGCTTCCAACGCTTGGTATTGTTGTTCCAGGAAATTCATCACATCCGCAAGTTTTTGAATGTCCTTAGATTTCTTTACAGTTTGTTCGTAAAGTACCAGACCATCTTTATCAAGCTTTCTTATAATAATTCTGGCTATAATAGGATCTGCTTGATCCAATTGTACCTCCATTGCCTTTAAAGCATGTATGCTCTCGTTTACGTTGTCCAACAGATTTCTAATATTCGACGCTGATTGGCTGTTTATATTTGGCTGGTCTAAAATCCTATCCACTAATTTCGTGAATAGAACTCTTTTATTACCATACCTATTTTCCAGCAATTCCCAGGCAGCTTTATAATTCGCCTCCGTTACTTGTAGGTGTTGCACAATTCGAAAAGCTTCTCCTTTAAGATTCGTCTTGAGGTAATAAAGTTTTTGCACCTCTGACAGCTTCGCGTTTCCATCGATCATTTTTTTGAAGAGATCATGAAAGGAGCTCCATTCTTCAACTTTACCACCAAAACATGGAATTTGTATACGTTTTAATTCCACATTCATCGCCTCATCTTTCACGTCTCCGATTCTTCTTACAACGTCTTGCATTCTTGTTTCAAACCTTTCTTCGATCTCCTCGAATTCAATGTCTATATCTTCCATGCCGAGCACAGTTGAGAGTTCAAGATGTAGCGACCTAATCTCATCAAACTGTTTTTCCCATGAAGTCTTTAGGTACTCCAGAGCGTATTTTGTAACACCGGTTAATTCACCTTCAATTGTGTCAGACAGCTTGTTAATCTTTTTCCTAAATTGGAATAGAGTTGCGCTCTTTCGGTTTGTTTCAGCTTGACCAAGAGATTGTTTAGCAAGCGTTGCGTTCTCTTGCACTTTTGTGCTAACATTCATATTTTCATATAAAAAGTTTATCTGTTGTATCTGCTCCTGTACTGTTTTCTGCATTTCTTCCTGCAACGCCGTTTGCACTTGTTGGATTGTATTTTTTACTTGCTCCTCCATGCTCTGCTGCATGCTCTTCTGCACAGCTTGTTGCAACTGTTTCTGCATCTCTTCTTGTAACGTCCTTACTTCCTCTACTTTCATCTCTGCCCCTTGTTGTGAAGCAGCCAAGCCTTCTGTTGCATACCGGGTTCTTCTTTCTCTCGCTCCTCTTTTAGATTTTCTATTGCCGTTTTGGCCTTTCCAAAATAGTCCTGGATCTGCTCCCATACCTTATCTTGGTAATATGCATCATTGTTTTCACCATGAATTGCCAGCTTCTCGTGATTCACTCTTGCTTCTTCCCTTTTATTCTTCAGGGAACGCAAGGTTTCTTCTATAGCGACTTTCCGTACCATACGGGCTTGCACTTTCTCCCAAATCCCTATTATTTCTTTAAGGATTTGACCTTGAGTCTTATATAAAATAACTCTTGACGTAATTTTTCTTTACATATTTTTTGATTTTTATTTTATTTTGCCCCTTAGGTCTTTTTCTTAATGTTGTGCCCCTTAGGTCTTTTTTTTAATATTGTGCCCCTTAGGTCTTTTTTTTAATGTTTTGCCCCTTAGGTCTTTTTTTATGTTGTGCCCCTTAGGTCTTTTTTTTTATTGTGCCCCTTAGGTCTTTTTTTTTTTAATATTGTGCCCCTTAGGTCTTTTTTTAATATTTTGCCCCTTAGGTCTTTTTTTTTTTTTTGTATTCTGTATTTCTTTTTTTATTTTGTATGCTAGTTCAATTTTTTTTTTCTTTTTTCGAAGGACCAATGTTCGCGGAGAAATTAAAACACACAACCGGCCGGTTATAATGTATTTTCAAATCTGATTTTATTAAAGAATATTTCTTACTTAAGTGCTACCTAAACTATTCTGACTTAACCTAATCGCAGACACACAATCTTTCTTATCTATTCTAAGGGCACGCTAGGAGGGATCTTGTGTCCCAACACTTAAGTGCATGCTACCTACTGAGCGCACATCTATCTGTATGTGTGGGCTTTATTGATCCTTTATTATCAGTGCACACAAATAGATTTTATGGCCGCTTGGAATTTCTAATCATTAAAAATAGATTACCATCTGCTCTGCCGCAGAGCTACAAGGCCGCTGAATTGCTTACATATGGTTTCTTTTTCTAATATTATTATTTTTAGACCGTTCAAAATTAAGTCAAACGATCACAAGAGAATGTTTCTTAACCTTTTGTCTATGTTCTCTGAACACAGTGTTAGATGAAATAGAGCGCAATTTAATAAGGTTTGTTTTCCCAAAGTTACGACTATCAATAGAAACATTAACAAATTTAGAATTCAGGGAAGCGTTTCTTAATTCGAGGTTCATCGAAAGTGTAGGGTGATAACTGTCTTCAGGGAGTACATAGAAATCGAAATATTCAATAAAGATCTATCTAACAACCTGTCTTTAACATTTAACACATGGTTTACTTGGTACAGACAAAGCTCAAATATCTTATTCCAAAAGTTATCAAAACCTGTTGGGTAAGTCAGAGGTATGTAATCTAGAATATTGTCACCTGAGGTCCAAGATACCCAAGGAAGGTTATATCTGTAAGCAACGAAGACACCTTTGCAAATAAATCTGCATGGTTAAGATAAATTTCAAGTTCAGAATTAGGTGAAATATATGAACAAGTTAAGAAAATGGTATTACCAATGATATTTAATTTTGCGCAGATAAATTCGATATTAGGATCCGCTGAGACATCAATCATTTCTGAAGGAATCGAGTTATGAACTGCTATTAGAACTCCACCACCAGAGAGTAAATCAATGTCCAGGACATCAGGTTTTAACCACGTTTCAGTGAAAGCAATTATTTTATATTCAGAAAAGAAACTTTTAAGGAAAACATCTCTAAGCTTAGTGTTTAATCCTCTTACATTTTTATAAAGATTCGGACAGACGTCATTTAGTTTTTTTGGCGCAGTTACGATGTTTACAGACTTATCTACATTGGAGCGTTCTCTAAAAACAAATTCTTTTACCAATATATCATCGGGCCAAAACGAACTACTAACAACAGTGTTAAAAAGTCGATTAGGAACTGTTATTTTAAACGACGAAATTTCGCGCTCCTGAGACGATTTAAATTTAAAGATGTTTAAATCATTATCGCTTACGTCACGTAACTTAGATTTCATATAATTACGGATATTAACAATAGAAGTTTCAGGATGAAGTCTGGATATAAAAACTGTTTTGCGACGTGCAACAACAACAAGCTGATTAGAAGGTGATGGATCATCAACAATTACAGCAGCCGAAGGGTTTGGAGGAACTTGCACCACAATTGCAGGTGGGTTAGAAAATGCTTTTTTGGAAGTCGTACAATTCGAGATTGAGGTTGTAGCGTTGGTAGTAACATCCGAGTCTTTACGATTATCATGAGAAACTGGTTTATTACTATTAGGAGGAGGATTTGGCGAAATCGGAGAATTTATGGTGATTAAATTGACCTAAATTGTTTGATTCGATATTGCTAACAACACCTGAAGCTTTTTTCCTCTTTGGTGAACCATCAGATAATTCAAACCTATTAACCAATTTTTAAATTTTTTCAAATTTTTTAAAAGTTAAATTAAAACTTTTTTTCAACTTATCGATTTCAGCCTTAGTTTCTTTAAAAAGGCAATGATAATCAACTTGAAGATCTCTACAATCAAAACAAGACCAACGTAGACCTTTAGTCTTGTCAGTAATAAAATCATACTGTCTACCATTAAAACCAGCACATTTAAGATGCATAAAATTATCGCAAATAAAACAAGAAATAAGACGCTCATTGATCATAGACAAATGAAAATATAGACAACGAGATGCTCTCACCGTTCATCTTCGAAAAAATCGGATCAGCAGATGTCGTCAATGTCGTTTCAGGGGTTTGAGTGGGAATTTTAAAGTCACTCAATTCAAAAATGTTAAAAATAACAAAAACTGTAGGATATTTGTCAGTTGAAAATTATTTCATAATAAAAGAAATTTAAAAAGTACGTGATGACATCGAAAAATATGAAAATATTCCACTGAAATTCTTGAAAAGCGATAAAATGTGTTTTCGAAGTCGAGTGGCTTGAACGCGTAAATCAGCATGTTGACTATGCAAAACATGAAGAGAGCCACCTGGATAAAAAGACAAAACTAACTTTTCGTTGTCTATATCTTTATTTGTCTATGCATTGATGTCTCTAACTGAACAGTCTTTGAAAGAGATAGCCATTTTGTAAAATAACAAATTAGATGAAAATACCCGCTAAATAATTTTTATATGAAATACGAAAGTAAACTGTGTAATGTGAACACGGTGTAATAATCAATATACTATTAGTGCCTAAAAGTATGCTAAGAATCTATTAATACGTACAGAATTGCTAAAGGGGAATCAGCTACAAACGTCAACACAAACAAAAAACACGACGAAAATAAAACAAAATGTAAAAGCACAAAATAAAACAAAACACTGATGTTTTACGCGGAAAATATTAAATAAACTTATTAAGCAGGAAAAAACACTTTATACACAAAAACTTCACACTTTTGGAAAAAAGATAAATAGTGTTAATTTAAATATTACAATTTAACACTTTTTTGACGCTTTAATCACACAAAAAAATGAATTTTTATTTCGTTAGACGAAGACACAGAAAATTAGCATCATAGATCAGTTGATATATCATGTATAAATATGTTGGTTGTATTACAACATTAATATTTTTGCAAGGAGGAGC